AAGTCTGTGGCTTTCTTTACTAAGTTGAAGAAAAGTTTGCACTTATCTGAGCTTCTACTTATGAACCTATTCAGGGCTGCGGCCCTTCCAGTTAGCATTTGTGCCTGTTTTGCCGACGTCGGGCTCTTCAATTCCAGGATGGCCTTGATCTGATCTGGACTAGCCTCAATGCCCATTTTGGTCACCAGGTATCCTAAGAACTTACCAGATCTAACTCCAAATGCACACTTCGATGCATTGAGTCGGAGCCGATATGTTTTAAGGATTTCAAATATTATTTTTAGGTCGGCTAGATGACCTTTAGGTTCCTTGGTCTTCACGACCATGCCGTCGATGTAAACTTCCACCGTTCGACCAATCAGGTATCTGAACATCTTGGTTACCAATCTTTGGTAAGTTGCTCCTGCGTTTTTCAACCCAAAAGGCATCACTTTGTAGCAATACAGCCCTTTTGGGGTGATAAACGCAGTCTTCTCTTCATCTGGGGGGTACATGACTATCTGGTGGTACCCCCGGTAGGCATCTAGGAAGCTCATCTTTACATGCCCTGAAGTGGCGTCCACCAGCTGGTCAATCTTGGGTAAAGGAAAACTGTCTTTGGGACAGGCCTTGTTTAGGCTGGTAAAGTCTACGCAGACCCTCCATTTACCATTCTTTTTTTTCACCACTACTGTGTTCGATAGCCATGTGGGGTAGTTTACCTCTCGAATGGCCCTGACCTCGAGAAGTCTGTTTATTTCTTCCTCCACTGCTTTGACGTGCATCAATATTGGTCTTCTTGCTCGTTGGATTATAGGTTTGGTCGACCTGTTAACGTTTAGTTTATGGCAGGTGACCTCGGGGTCAATGCCAGGCATTTCGTAAGGCGTCCAGGCAAACACTTCAATGTTTGCCCTCAGGAAAGCCTCCAACTCTTTTTCCTCTTCTTCGGCTAAGCCCGAGCAGAGAGAGAAGAAGCGTTCTTCATCCCCTTCCTGGACGAGGATTTTCTTTAGTGCTTCTTCACTTTTCTCGGCTGGCTCCTTGCCGACGTCCTCTAGGACTTCCACATCTTCGTTTTCGATCTCTGCCCTCTCTGGTTCTCGTATGCTGCAGGTAGATTTCATTGCTGCCATGGAGCAATTTTTTGCCCGCAGCTGATCTCCTCTGGCTTCTTCTATCCCATGCTCTGTTGGGAACCGCAATAGTTGATGCAATGTTGAGGGAACAACCCTCATTGCATGTAACCATGTCCTTTTCAGGATAACATTGTAAGGAGAGGGCGTGTCAATTACGATGAACTCTGTCTTTATCATCCTGGTTCCAGCCTGCACCTCCAAGCTCGTTGTTTCTAGTGGCCACGTTGGCGTTCCATTGAACCCGACCATTGGGCCATTGGATTGCTCCATATCGTCTGGGTGAAGGCCAAGCTCCTTGTAACACCTGACGTACATGATGTCACAAGAGCTGCCTTGGTCAATTAGGATGCACTTCACTTGGCACTCCCTGACTTGGAGGGATACTACCAAGGCATCATTGTGGGGATGTTGGACCATCTTAAGGTCGGCTTCAGTAAAGGACACTGCTGGTCCTTGGTATACCTTGGCCCAATGTCGTTTTTCCCAGACCTGGTACACGTGTTGCAAGTGTTTTACCCTCTGGGTCTCCCTTTTTATTTCGTTTTTGTTGACCTTTGAGTGAATTACATTAATTACCCGAGGTCCTCCTGCCTGTGGTTGCTGTGCTGGGGGAGGTGGAGCTGCTAGTGCCTGAGACAGTCTTGCATGTTCTTCCCTTGTCCTGGCCTCATCTACAAGGTCACTTAAATGGCCTTGTCTTACCAGGTCTTCCAGGTGTGCTTTCAGGACTCTGCAACCTTGAGTCATATGCCCGTCTTCGTTATGGTAAGCACAATGCTTATCAAGGCTTCTTTCCATAAATTCTCCTAGCACCCTAGCTGGTGCTCTAAAATAGGGCTGGGATCAGATTTTGTCCAGGACTTTGTGGATTGGGATCCGGAACACAGTTGTGACTGCTTGTGCAGCCTTCAGTCTTACCTCTTGCTTGTTGGACCCGTTGTTACCTCGGCCGCACTTCGGCGAGCCGTTACATTTTTCTTGCTTTGTCTCATCAGCTCTTGACGTGTCTTCCTCGGCTCTGGCATACTTCTCAATTCTGGCCATGAGCTCTTCCATGCTTTTTGGCAATGTCTTTGCCAAAGACTTTCGTAGTGGGCAGTCATCTTTTAAGCTGTTCTTGAGAGATACGACCGCCACCTCTTGGTTGCACTCGGGTATTCGGTTGAACACCTCATAGTACCTTTTTGCATAGGCCCTAAGGCCTTCATCCTTACTGATTCTTAAAGCCATCAATGCGTCCATCCTTAATGGCTGTAGCTTGTTTGTCACGAACCTGGCCACAAACATCTCGGCCAGGCTTTCCCAGGTCTTCACACTTTCCTTTGGTAGTTTGTGAAACCAATCTGATGCAATCTCCCCGAAAGATGAGGGGAACACCCTGCAGAGTAGCGGCTCGTTCCCACTTTATAATGCCATTGACTTCAGGTATAATCCAACGTGGAAGTTGGGGTCTAACTTACCATTGTATATTTGGAACCTTTGCATACTGAATCTCTTTGGAGCCTCAAACTTGTCCAATTCCACCGAGAATGGTGTTCTTGGCTTAACAGGAGAAGTTACCTTGGCATCGGCATTCTGTTGTTTCCTCTTGAGGTAATCTCTCAAGTCTTCTTTGTTCCGTCCAAAAGCTTGGCTATCTCTCGACTTCAGTCTTTTCGGCATACTACTCTCAGCTTCGTTGTGGGCCTTTTTTGACCTTTCTCCGTGAGTTGTGTCGAAGCACAGCTTCTGCCTTTGAACATGCCGATGTTCTCTAGGGTCTGTTTCTTTAGTGCGATGTGTCCTTCGTGACTCTTCTCTCCTCGACTCTCCTCGTCCGACCTCCCTGGAAGGCCGGTGAGAGTGTTTTTCGCTTCTGGTGTGCTAAGGGGCTATTAGGATTGGTTTCTGTCCTCTCTTATGGGCATTGGCCGCTGGAATCGGCGTGTCCTGCAGCGAGAAAGATGGCTGCATGACGTTATTTTGCAACATAAAATTGACGACCAATTACAGGTCTGCCAACTTGTTAGCCATCTCTTTCACCTCTTCGTCCCTCCGCAGGCATCTATCCTTCCATACCTGGAGGTCGTCCTCGTTGTAGTATCCGTTTCGATCTGGTTTCTTTGGCACGTCGTCATCCTGGCCGACGTCTTTCTTGCCATGATTCTGGTTCTGAGTCTCCTCATTGCGACCATCTTCCTCCATATTAAGATCAATGTGCTTACCATTCCCAGTAGGGGTTTCATCCCCAACCTTACCCTTTTGCCCGTCATTGGCCATCTATTCTCTTTTTTTTCCCACAGACGGCACCAAATTGTGTGTGTCAATTTCCGACCAAGCTGCCAACTTAGTATTCAGTTAGAGAGCACTGTCAGAATAGATGGCGCCTGATTGACCTGCAACAAAAAGAGAAGATTCCGGCGGTGGTTTGTCCACCCGGGGGCACTCCGACGATCAAGTCAGTTATCTCTCAAAGATAAATCAAGTGCTTAACTCACTATTCAAAATACAAATTGCGTACCATAGACCCATGGAGGTGCCTCTCTTTTATAGCCAACTCAATCCTAGTCCCAATAGAAGCCTAGCTTCCATGGACTTTTAGCTCAATGCTCATCCTGGACTCTCCAACGGATAAAGATAAATTCTCTTAGAGCTTTATCCTTATCTAAGTTGAGATACTTCTTCATTCTAGGACTCTTGTGCTTTATCCGCTTATCTCGGATTCCGATATCTTCGGAGGTAACCTCGGCAGCATCACGACCGGGACACGTGGCACCTCGGCTGACACGTCGGCGTCACCTTGGCCACATGTTGGTACTCAGAGAATATATCCCTACAATAACTAAAATAAGGATATAACTAATGAAAAAAATTGGTCATAATAAAAAAAAAATGACATAATTTGTAAGTGTATATGGCAAGGAGTGTGTATAGTAAAATTTTCTTTTATTTATTATTTTTATTTTTTACTGATGAAATCTCTCAAATGTCCCGATGTCTAAAATATAATTATAAGGAGTTGTTTGAGTTTGTTTATTTAGTGTAATTTTTTTATTTTTTATAAAAAAAGTGTGTAGAGAAACAGAGGAGTAATGTGACCTAAATAAGTTCACTTATCAAATAAGTATTATTTAGTGCATTTCTAAATAATCCCTAAATTCATTTTTAATGGTGTGATTTTGGTAAGAGGTTAAAAGTTAATTTTTTAGGTTTTAATTTCTTTCAGTCACATCACCTCTTTATTTTTTTACATATTTTTTCAAAAAAAAATTAAAAAAAAAGTCAAAAAAATTCACATTTAACTTACTTTTCAAAACAACCCAAAATATATATGATGTTACAGGAGTCTTAACTAATTGTTTATTAAAATTAATGAATAATTAAGAGTAGTGCACATCATTGGTAAATTGGAGTTAGGAAGGTTTAAACCTCCAACCTTCAAATAATGGGATAATGAAACTAAACGAGGAAATAAGAGCATCTCCAGCAAGGATAGTTAAAATAGCTATTCAAAATTTCACTTTACTATTTTAGCTAGTCATTTTTTTAATATACACTCCAACAAGGCTATCTACTTTAGCTATCTTCTATTAAAATATTCTTATACTTTAACTACCTTCTTTCCAATCTAAAAAAAAAAAAAAACTAACTTCTTTCAAATTGTTATTTTTTTCATTCTTCTAAATATAATTATATTTTTGTGAAAGTTACATTTTTCTACTATCGTATTTTTCAAATGGTCATATTTTTTCAACGGTCATATTTTTTAAAATTTTTACAACGGTCATATTTTTACAACAGTCATATTTTTATACTTTTCCATTATAAATAAGACATTCCCTATCATTTGATCTTACCATCAACTCAATTTTCTACTTCATCCAAACTTCTATATCTCTCTCTATGGCTTCCAATTCTCTTTATGATATGCTTGTAAATGACTTTGACTTCTTTGAATCTGATGATGATTTGGAGATGCTCAAAGCTGTTACTACGGATGAAAAACTACTAGATAGTGAGATAGGATCAAGCTCACATCGTGGTTCTGTTCGAGGTCGTAAAGTCACTCATCGTGATTATATTCAAGGTCATGAAAGGCTTTTTCTTGACAATTTTGCTGAATCACTTGTATATCTTCTTGAGCTATTTCGAAGGAGGTTTCGGATGAAGCGTTCACTTTTTCTTCGAATTCAAGCTGCAGTAGAAGCGCAAGATCCATACTTTCTCCAAAAAAGAAATTGTGCTGGAAAGCTTGGTTTGTCTTCTCTTCAGAAGATAACTGTTGCACTTAAGATGCTTGCTTATGGAGTAGCCGCTGATTTTATGGACGAATATGTGAGAATTGGAGAAATCACTACAATAGAAAGCTTAAAATATTTTGTTAAAGCAATTGTTGATATTTTTTCTAATGAGTATTTGAGGTCACCAAATAGCAACAACATCGCTAAACTACTAGCGGTTGGTGAAAGTCGTGGATTTCCTGGAATGCTGGGGAGCATTAATTGTATGCATTGGAAATGGAAAAATTGTCCGACTGCGTTGAAAGGTATGTATACTGGTCACATTCATGAACCAACAATTATTTTGGAAGCTGTTGTATCATATGATCTTTGGATTTGGCATGCGTTTTTTGGATTACCTGGGTCTTATAATGATATCAACGTGCTAGAAAGGTCTTTTGTATTTACTGAACTTGCTCAAGGGCGTGCTCCTACAGTCAATTACACCATCAATGGTAATGAATATACAATGGGATACTATCTCGAAGATGGTATTTATCCACAATGGTCAACATTTGTGAAAACAATTCCTTCTCCTCAAGGAAATAAGAAATTTTTTTTTGCTGCAACTCAAGAGGCGACAAGAAAAGATGTACAACGTGCATTTGGAGTGCTTCAAGCACGATTTGCAATTGTGCGTCGACCGACACGTTTTTGGAATACTAAAATGCTTAAATATATTATGAAGACATGCATAATTCTACATAATATGATCATTGAGGATGAACGGGATGACAATGGAGTAAAAGACTTCAATTATGATCAAATCGATGATAGTCCCCATGTAACAGTGTTACAGGAGAGAACTACTGAACTTATGAAATTCATTCAATGTCATCATAACATTAGAGACAGACAAACACATTCTCATCTCCAATCGGACCTTGTCAAACACTTGTGGCAATTACACAACGAGTTGTAAAAGCTTTGAATTTGAAGTTTCATTTTATGTAGTATGCTATTAGTTTTGAATGTAATCAGTATATGCTTTTAATTTGTGTGTAATTTTATAATTCTATATGCCTTTCAATTATATGGTTATCATTTTAATTCTATATGCCTTTTAATTATATGGTTTTCACTTTAATTATATGCTATATATATATATATATATATAATTAGCAATGTAGAGAAAATACAGCACAAAATAGCAGCAAAAATACCAACAAAATAATAGCAAAAACACCCCAAAAATAACAACAAAACAGCAACAAAACTAGTTCAAAAATATGTAGCAGACTTGTAGCAGCAAAACAACCCAAAAACACCATCAAAAGCTAGAAGATTCATATATCTTAAAAATGTTAACAAACTGTAGCAGACTTGTGTCTCACATAACATATCATTCCATTAAATTGTACGGACAGAAACCAATGTTGAGCTTAATAGTTCACACAAAAGCACTAGAAAGCAAGCAAGTTGACAAGGCCCACAAATTTGAAAGAAAGCAACATCTCTCGGCAATTCCCTAGCAAAAATGTAAGGTATAACTATTACCTTCAAGACAGTTTAACCAACAGCTACTAAAAGTACTATTATTGACCATAAACAGAGATTTTCTTTTGCAACTCAATCAAGCTAAATTAAGTTTCATCCGAAATTCTTAACTATTTTGCCAAGTTTATATGTATTCTCCTTCAAATTTCCACTCATTCTTGGGCAATATTTTATTCCAATTCAAATTTCCACTCCAGTCAATGGATTTACAATGGTCAAACTATTTGATTCTCTCCAGTCAACAGATTTACACGTAGTTCTCACAATGCTTTCAAGGTTTAACTTCAATCCATCTTTATAAATGTTGAGATTAATTCATGTTAAAAGTTATGTTTCATCAAGCACTATAAATGTTAATAACTAGTGAAGTGTTATTACTGTTATGTAATAGTTTAAAAATACCCTTCAATTTGACCAAATATACACCAGAAACATGAATCTGATTCTTTCATGGCTTCATTCCATTCCAATTTAGGAAACCAAAATTATACTAATACAACCCTTACAGTATAAAATATTTATCTAGCAACTATTCAGAAACTTCAAGCCTTGTTTGGTTTGTGTTTCTCAAAAAATTTTGGAAAAAATTCTCTACAAATAAGTTTTCAAAAGTAATCAAACAAAATAAATTTTTCCAAAACTTGTTTGGTTTAGAAATTTTCCAAACAAATCTTTCTTTCTCATACACATCAAATCAATCACTTTTTCCAAAACTCTCTCTCAAAATAATTTTTTAAAACATCTTTTGAAAAAAAACCAAACCAAACAAATTTTCGTACTTTTTATCTCAAAACATGTTTCTCAAATACAAACCAAACAAGGCCCAAGTTTCCAATGAACATGGTCCCACAATGGATCAATTTCCAAATATCACATTTCGAAGTCCAGTCAGGTTTATTCATTAAAATTTGTCTAAATATATGAATTTGTTTCCTCAGATTGTCCAACTACACACACAGAGATTAGCAGTTCAACTTTTCTGTCAACTGACTTTGGTAGTTATAGATACAAACACTACTCTATACTTGTTTTAAAAACTTTGTTAATTCTTTCTACATTTGCTATTAACCACAGATTTTTAAAAAATAATAAATAATAAATCATCAACAGTTAAGAAGGGTAAGAAAATATCAACTAACTAAGTACCAAATAGAAAATAAAATATTTTTTTATCAGCATAGAGAAAAACAAATTAAGGACATTTTAGGTTGCACATGCACCAAACATATGGAATTTATGTTTAAAGTGTTCTGTCTATGGAAAGCATTTAAAGTGAATTTAAGTTTAAGAGAATTTATGTAATATGGAATTCATGACATAAGAGAATTTAGGTTGTGCATGCACCAAACATAAGAGAATTTAGGTTGGACATGCACCAAACATAAGAGAATTTATGTTTAAAGTGTTCTGTCTATGGAATTTATGTCAATAGAAAGCATATGAAACAAACAAAAATGACAATCTATATGAAAGCATATGAAACAAGCAAAGAAAAAGCATAAACTGGGTACAATTTACAATCTATATTCTAACAGAAATTACAACAAACATATGGTGTGCAATACAAATACATAGACAAACAAACAAAAATGACAAAATTTATTACCTCCCTTGAGCAAAAAGTTTGAGAAAAAGATAGAGAGGATGAGAGAGTTTGTGAGATTTAGAATGCTTCCTCTATGGATTTGTTGGAGAGGTACTGATACAACTTTTAGCGCCAAAATAAGGGAAAAATTTTACCGCCAAAAACAAAATTTAGGAGCTAAAAACAAATAAAAAATTAAAAGGTTCATGAAAAGTACCTCGCTTGTCTTGGCGAGATACTATAGCTCACAACCATCTTAGTGATGCTTGAACGAGTCTGCTGGAGCCATCTTTTACCCTTCTAAGCTCGCTTCTATGGTTGACAGCACAAAATGGCTATACTGCTGGAGATGCTCTAAGGTTGCTTTTGTGCGAGGCTCGTCAGTCATTGTTATGCGGTTAATAGAGATAATTTTTCTATTTTAAAAAAATAGTATTAATTTTGAAATTTATTTTAATAATTTAAATTGTTCATTTTTTATGATACATATTGAGTAAAATATATTTATAAAAAAATTAAATTGATTCATAATCAAATTATATATATATATGTAAAAATAAATAAATGACAAATGTAATTTATAATATAAAATCAAAATAAAATAAACCCATTATTCAAAATATGTGATTTTAGAAGGAGAGACCCCAATTCTCTCAAATTAACAATGTAAATCAAAGTACAAAATATGCAGCGGATAAAATGTTTAGATCATACCTTTTTGATGATAGAACCTCGTGGATAAATCACGTGCTTCCATAAACCAACCCAGCAGTGAAGTGATATCACAGATTGAATATCACCCACACAAATCACAGTACAAATGACTTGATCGTTTGTTTTTAGGAGAGAGTCAGTATATGGGTAGAAACAGATCATACGTTGTTTCTCTCTTAATTACCCATAACCATATATCAGATATATAATATATTATTATATCTATCCATATCAGTTAAAACTGATAATATCTGTATCTTGAGTGGTTATCCTAAATAGGTTTGAATTCAATTTCAAAACCTATTTGGATAGGATTCCAAATTCAAATTCAAATGGTCATGCCACATGGGCGCCCATTACTAACATCTCCCACTCGCACATGAGTTGGCATGACACTGCCACATCTCTGTCTCAATCTCCCAAAAATAAACAATCTCATACTAGCCACTGCACCGTGCGACTGCTGAGAACACCTGCATGTGGGAGCTCTATACTAGAAACTCAAAATGAGCCAGCATAGAGACATCAACCCAAAAAAGAAAAGAAATAGTGTCTCATATACCCCAGACCCATCTAATTACACCGGTCCAAAAAACATCTCTAATCCCTCAAAAAAGAGCATGTTTGACCCTCTCAATTCTTGCAATATATTCACACTCAATTCGCCTCTCATACAGAGCGATGTGAGTTGCCGGCAGTGAATATACAACAGTGGTGTAATACTAGATGATCTTCCCTTTGCACTCATGCCATTTAGTTTAGGATTGACCGCTTTCCCAGTGATGTCCCTTAAGGCCGAATCATGCATGACCGCAGGCAACATACCAAAGTAGCAGAACATCAACCCCTTACCTTATGACATAGTCAAAAGTCACAAAAGGGTACATAAATGAAAGTCATATCAATAATGACACGTAAGACTCACACGGTGAGGAAGCAGAGATCCATTCTCTCACCTCATTACTCGATCGCCAAGCACATGTAGCATGAATACATGTTACGGTGGAGTAACTCTTCCATAAAGAGTGACGTCATACTCGATACACCGTACAGATATTAGTCTAGTCGCTTTCTAGCGCCTAACCCGAATTCTCTATTTGCTCGCCTTCTAGGCGCCAAATGAGATCTCGAATCTGGCTAATCATAACAGGCACAACATGGAAAGTGGATACTAACATCCATGTTTGGTCCTTAACACGACCTCATCTTGGTTATAACCAAGGCGACATACATAGTGGATGATTTAAGCCTCTCTTGGCTCCAAATAAAAATAAACCACCAGTCTCATCCTTGCTCGCTCCCAAGCGCCAAGGGCGATTGCTCGTGTGAGTGAGCCAATCTTGCCTGCTGACATCATCATCTGCTAATCATTATGACACAAACCATAATAGTGTCAACATCCCATCATCTCAAAATAAGTGATCGATTTTAAAAAAAAAAAAGACCACAGCTTGCGCAATTATAGATTCCAAACATAAGCCTTAAAATTTTGCAGTGGCAGAGGTATTGTCTGCAGATGTTTTCTCTGCATTTGAGGATGCTGGACTAAATTATGATAAGGTATGATGGGTGAGGCTGCTCAAAGTATCGCATTACATTTTAACTCTTGTTTTTTTTTTCTTTTTCTTTTCTCAAATAAATCCCTTTTCATTTTTATCTGAATTCCTGTGGTATGAAAGCATAGTTCTTAAGATTTTGTTAACTGGTACCCTAAGAGCACTTCTTAAGCAGCTTGAAATGGTTGTACATTTTTTTAAAAATTATTTAATATTATAGAAGTATGTATTATAAAATATGTACAATCATTTTAAGCTTTGTTAACTAGTTTCCTTGGGGCACTTGTAACAATATCCTATTTCATATATGATTTATTGAGGGCACATTCCGTATCTATTGTTATAGAAGAAAAAAAAAACAAAATTGAAGTCTGTTGTTGTAGAATCTATCACAAATTGAAAAATGAAAATATAATTTGTCATAGAATTTTTATTGTATGCCATAAACATAGAATTTATATTGTTGAGGTTTACTATAGATCACATTTCATGTATAATTTGAGAAGCAATTTGTTGTTGTTGATGTTGTTATTGGATGGTGCTTGCCTTCAAATTCACAATGTAGAAATGAAGGACAAGTACAAATGGCCAATATACCAACTGTCACCAAGCAACTTCGAAGTATGAGCGAACTTCGATTTCAAAGCGAATAACTTCAATTTCAACGCGAACAACTTCAATTTCAGAATGCACAGATGTAAAAATTGCAAACAGACATAAATCGTAGTTGATGTTGTATTTATGGAGTCTTCATGTTGGTTGTAATTGGTGTTGTATTAATTATGAAAATGTAATAATTTTTACGCAAGTTAGAAGTAGAAATAGATGATATGTATGAACATTTATGATATATTACGGTGTTTTTTTGAGAAGTATGAAGATGTAATCATGTGGATTGTTTTTTTCTTTTTGAAGTTGATTGGCATAATTTACATAGTTATCTAATTGAAACTTTCTAAGTTATCTTATTGGAACAGATTGTTGACAAATTTTGAACACCAATTCTGTTTATCTGTTTGTCTATTTGAACACAGATTGTTCATAGATTTTGAACACAGATTCTGTCTGTTTGTCTATTTGAACACAGGTTGTTGACAGATTTTGAACACAAATTTGTTGACAGATTTCTTCAACAGATTTGAACACAAGTTGAGCACAATCTGTTAACAGATTTGAACACAATTTGAACACAATCTGTCAACAAATTTTGAACACCAAAATTCTTCAAATTTCTTCACAGTTTCAAATGTCCTTTTGCTTAACCATTAGTAACACACAAAGCCAGTGTACCATGAAAAACAATAGAATGAAAAGCACCAAAATGCATTAAAATTACATAAATTAAGCTCCATCAACTAACAAACAAAAATGCATTAAATTACTCCCAGTACAAAATGAAGTCTAGATCCAAATCACATAAAATGCATTAAAATTACATGTTTCCAACTAACGAAAACGAGAGTGATTTCGGTCTATTTGTACATTCAAGTCAACAAAAGAAGACGGTACGGCTCCATAAATTTCACTTATGGATTGCTGAGTTCTCATAGACCTTTGCATTGAAATCATCTCCAAAGCTAGTGTGGGTCGTTTTGATGCATGTGTACCCTCTATTTGAATTAACCTCCATTTCTGCTCATTCATAAATTAAACTGAAATCAAATAATTTAATAGATTAATAGACTAATACAATAATCTGTTATTACTTTGTTATTAATTTGCTGAAAAATTAATCTGTAAATAATGATTTAATAGATTAATAGACTAATACAATAATCTGTTATTACTCTGTTATTAATTTGTTCAAAAATTAATCTGTAAAAAATGCAGTTATTAATCTGTTATGTGGATTTAAATAGACACACACACACATATATATATATATATAACGAGAAAACAGAACTGAGCAATAGATAACACTACCAGCATTTTGGTGATAGTTTCATTTAAGTCTTAAATCATGGAAAGGAACTGAGCAATATAAAACAAACACTAATGGAATCAATATTTAAAGCTCAGAGTCAGAAAACTATAACCTGTAGAAAAATTATAGTGAAAGACAATGAAATACCCACTACACAAAATGCTCTTCTTTTTTTTCTTTTTTTTTTTCCTTCTTCTCAGGATTGTGATCATTAATTTGAACATTCTTTTTTATTATACCTTCGGGTTGAGGTGCAAGGGAGATAACTGTAGGTCATAAAGAGTGAAGGATGATTAAAGTACTCTTTTTTGACCAAGTGAATTAGTGACTGAATCTATGTATTTCATTACAGAATAGCTCTTCAAACAGAATACAACTACAAAAATCATTCTTAAAATCCTATTATATATATGTATATATGTAAGTATAAGTATAGAGAGAGAAGGACAACAAACAGAGACAGAAACTGATCAGAAGGAACGTCGAAGTCCAAGTCCGACGAAGACGCCGGACGATAGAGGAAGGAGAAGACGTCTGACGGTGGAGGAGACGAACGGCGGACAGATCTGCAAATGCCGAAGGAAACAGCAAACGCCGAATGGTGGAGGAAAGGACAAACGCCAGATGGTTGACAAGAGGGACGGCGGAGGAGAGGGCAAACGCCGGACGGTGGAGGCGAGGGACGGTGGAGGAGATATCTAGAGCTGGAATGCAGCCTCAAATTAGAACATAATCTAGATCTAAGCTTCTCTTTTACATTTGAGCGGGAATTTTTTTTTTTTTTTTTTAACAGTGTGTGAACACACGCACTATATATGCAAATGTGTTTCATTCTCACACGTTGAAAACTTGTAAAAAAAATTAAAAAGTCAAAAAGTTACTCAAAAAGTCAAAAAATTAATATTATTCATCAAAAGTCAACAATTACGATTGCACAATTCCCAATTTGAATTTTTCGTCAATTTTTATAATTTTTTATTACATATTTTTTCATAAAAAGTCAAAAAGTTAACCCAAACATCCATATTTTTAACTTTAATTTTTTAATCTAAAAAGACAAAAAATACACTTATTTAAAACACCCCAAATAACCCCAAATACCACCTGCTTAGAGCTCTTTTTAGAGCCGGTCTTTTAGTGCTCAGTATCAGAACTGTCAAACATAATCCAATCAGTGATGCTACATCCCACTAAAAAAGAATCACTAAGCCAGCTCTAATGAGCTGACAGTGCTGAAAATTAAAAAAAAAATAAAAACAAAAAGTAAAACATTACATCAGTATTTTTAGAGCTATTAAAGCTCTTAAACAATTTTCGAACCCAATTTCATCAGTAACATCCTACCCTGTCAAAACTTGCTGTAAAGTATACATAATTATAAAGGCACATGGACCACCATCTCTCAGCCAATTAAAACCCTTTAACATGTAAAAAGTCAAAAGAATTAATTCCACAATTATATCTGTGAAGCTGATTGATGAAGACCACACCGGACTTGCGGATGAGTGGAAGAATTTTCTTGAAACCAAAAAAAAAAAAAAAACCAAAACCACATCTACAAGCATCCAGTGGTCCACGCAGTACTCGATCCCAACCCGTCCCTCTCTCACGGTTAAACTAAGCGCAACAACCCTTTCGCTTTCTGGTTTGTGAGTGATTTCTAGCCATGGACTCTCTCTCCAAAACCCCAACTTTTCTTCATCAATCACCATTACCATTACCATTGTTGTTGTTGTTGTTATTTATTCTTCTAGGGTTCAAACCCAGATTTCAATTTCCACTTTTATGTAATTCGAATGCCATTTTTCAATACTCCATCTTCAATGCGGTTGATGATGAGCCATTGTTGATGTGTTTGACCTTTCTCATTGATTACGATTTCGTCACGTTGTGGCACTTTTCAACGGTAAGTTCAAATTCATGTGGTAATTTTTTCATGTTTTGTATTTTGTCGGCAGAGATTTGATTGCTGTTGATGAATTCTTTTGTGTGAATTTGGTGCTTAAGCCTTTCCAAATTGATACACACAGTTTCAATTGGCTAAAGGTTGTGTGTTTTTCTTTTTTGGTGAATTTAAGTTTGTCAATTTCTTAGTTTCAAACTTTTAGAGATAAAATTAGTAGTGTTTTAATCGTTTGTGTTTGGTTTTGGATATATGAAAATGGTTAATCAAATTGTGTTATTCTGTGATTCTTGTTCATCTAGAATGTGAAATTTGACATATATCTGTTACATATAAGCATGAATATTTTAACTCTTCTATTCTTCTATGTGCTTGGCTGTTGTTTATTTGGAAATTCACATCTGGACTGGTCTCTGATTAAAATATTTGATTTGCTGTATGAGTAGGTCTTTCTTCTTCATAATATTTATTTTTCATTTTTGATGTCTAGTTGAAGTCAACTTATACTATTTCTTTTGTAAGTGATATAAAATTAGATGTTCACTTGTTCAATTAAGTTGGGGTACTAGATTGTTTTGTTTATGTTTCTCTCTCTTCTTTTTCTTTCTAAGTAGCGATAATTTTTAAGCGATTTGGTATTAATTACTTGACTTTATGTTATTTGAGAACTAAATGATGGAATATTAGTATATGATTCAGGAAATTCACCCTACTTGGTTATCCTGATTATATCAATCAGTTTGATATAACCATCTGTAATTGTCTTTCCCTCAGTAATATAGAAGATGTCAAGTAATGATTTGTTGGACCTTTCGGATTACATTTGATTGTTTTGTAGTGTGAGAAAACCCATGGTAAAACCTCTCGCACCCTTTGAGAATTGCATGACTTGCGGATTTACTAAAAAAAATTATTTGTGGTTTGCAGCTGTAAAACAAGTTTGTGGCGCTATCATACTTGATGACAAACAGTAACTCTGGATTTCATGGGGTAAACATATAGATATAGTACTAAGGATATTGTGGCTTTGGGGTGAACCGTGGACCCACAGGGTGCATGGGAAGTGTATCACACCTTTTTGAGTTCAATCAGGGCTGCATGGCAAGGAAAGTTCTCACACAACAGAAACACGGTGGTGGTAAGTATTATATTTTTTTACAGCATTAGAGAGAAGGGTATGATAGGAAAGAACCTGTGGGTTCAATTCAAGCTGGCTACATGTTCAATTGTGGGCACTTGAAAACTTTTGTTAATGTACTTTGATAAATTCAGTCAATTGACTACTTCTCAATTCTGAATTTCTAGAAACCATGAAAGGTAGCTAATTGATTTTGACAGTGATTATAGAGCAATAGTTATGGTTTTACCTTGGTTAAGTGTTATAGGTATCAGAATGATGTCAGCTTGAGTTTGACCTATGCCAATTACAATTAGTTTATGAGGGAAGGCACTTGTGACATATCAAGGTGATTATAGACTCTTCGAATAAAAAAGATGTGCAAATCTCTTTGCTTCTCAGGGAGGAGAACCACGACTAATTTGACTCACAATATTGTCATATTAGATGATGCACTTTGAAGCACTCATAAGAAAATGATTACCACCACAAGAAAACCTCATCTCACCTGGTTATGGCAAGAGAGAATAAGTTGAAATACATTTTTCCATTTGAATCTCTTTTGTGCTTTTTAAATTAATGATGCTAATACAACTATACAGGCTTAGAGGCTCCTCAAAACAGCCTGGAGCTTCCAGTAGAAACTTTGCAGAGCTATTGCGCTGTTGGAGACAATATCCCGGTAATAATATCATCACTTACCTTATTTTATATGAGCTTTATACTATGTTTATGGGGTGGAACCTTTGAACGGTTTACTATTTCTTGTCGTTATTTTGTGACTAAGAGATGATAGGATGTTAGCTTTTGATGTAAACTGTATTTGAAGTGTTCAAACTGCAGTTTACTCTCTGCATTCTTCAGAAAGAAGGGATTTATTGTTGCTCTAGCTCATGGTGTTCATTTTGGGAGATTGCTTGACCCGATTCTTATTAGTGTAGGCTCACAAGAACTGGGCAACAGCTCTTGTTGGAAGGAAGTTTGTTTTGAGGTTTTACAAACACTTTGATGGCTCACCAAAAATAAAATAAAATAAAACTTGGGGTTGAAACTTTTACAATTACCATTGTGTAGTGCAAATTGGACTTGGATGAAATTTCCAAACAAGAAATTAAGGGTTCAAACCAAAATGGTTATTGTTAAAGTAAAATCGAATGTTGTTATATTAGTAGAAAAATACTAAAATAACAATTCCTGAGTTTTTATAGTACTCTCTGGATAGATCGCATCAGGTTTGGAATTTTTTTTTCTATCAATAATTGTCACGATTTTGATGATATTTATCATCTTTGAAGAGGTTAATTTCTGTTGTCGCTGTCTATTTTGGTTGGTAGATTAAGAAACCTTTTTCTCAATGAACTCAAATTCTTTCTGTTTTGATACGTTTAATCTTCTCCCATGTATATATTTTTTGTCAGCGACATTATTTAAATCCAAATCTTTGTATAAAACAGTTTGTTATATTTTGTTATTATTGAACTTTTGTCTTGTTTGCTTTTTTTATTTTTTCTACACTGAACAAATGCTTTGTACTCGTTACTCATCCTTGTAGCACGATATAGGAGTGCTCCTTAATATCAGTTCCAAGTTCCAATAGTCAATGTTCTCTGTTCTATCATTCTCCATGTGTGTGTTGTGTGTGTGTGTGTGTGTCTCTCTCTCTCTCTCTCTGTGCAGGTGTCTTTCTTGATTCTTATTTCTATATATGAATTTTTCAGTACTCTTATGAAGTCAAACATGAGTGGTGCGAGAACTCTTATCCAACTGAGGCTTCAATGAAGATGTTGATCAGTGAAGAAATGTCCAAAGGACCAAACACCAGACAAAATGTACCGAGTGTTGTGGCCCGTCTGATGGGAATGGATATGTTATCATTCGATACAAAATCTGTAGCTCGGCAGGATGGAAAAAAGAATCAAAAGCCAGGAACCAATTTGCATAAGAAGGAACAGAATAAAAAAGGCTCAGGTGGCCATGCCCATTGTAACTCAAATTCTTCTAGACAGATGGAGTTTAATTCCTTTCAACATAACAAGGACAATGATCCTGATAGTCACCATGTTCACATGAAGTTGAAAAAGCCAAGGTCACGAGAACATCCTCAAGAGGAGGAACTACTGAAGTTTAAGAAAGAATTTGTAGCATGTCAAGCAGTAAGGATCAGGGAATGCTCAAAGGTTGTTGAACTTGACAGAATTCCTAGCCAGTGGCTTGCTCAAGAAGCCCTCAACAAGGAAAAGGTTGCTCTCTATTCAAATTCAAGAAGAATTACAGCAAGTGAGAAGCCTATAGATTTTATGGGTCATGCAGTAAAAGCAAGCCCATGTGAAAGTGGGTTGCAACATCATGGATTTAGGGAGGAACTTTTTCCATCTGAGCAGAAGGGATCATATTCTTCAAGGAACCGAACCCTAATTAGAGATTTTGAGCAGCCATCTCTGATTAATTCCGACCAGAAGCTGGATATATCTTCTGCTCCAACAAGGATAGTGATCCTGAGGCAACTGAATGAACTCGATGCTGATGGCCCCAAGAAGACAGTCACCGAAGAGCAGCCCTTGGAAACTGAAATGGCAGAGTTAGAGGATGAAGCAGAAGCTTACATCCGAGACTTGCTTGTTGCTTCAGGTCTGTACGATGGTTCATCTGACAACATTTTATCAAGATGGGACCCACTAGCAAAGCCTATAACCAACGACATCTTTGAAGCAGTAGAAGAGTCTTACAAGAAAATGACCAAGGATAATGAAGGGTCCAGAAGAGATCACAAGTTGTTACTTGATTTGTTAAATGAAGCACTCTCAGTTGTACTTGGACCACCTGTGACCATGTCTAGATTCAGAAAGGCTATTGGTCCTGCACTACTTCCTCCACGTGGACAGAAGTTATTGGATCGTGCATGGGAGATTGTTCGTGCACATCTATACCCTCCAACAGACAAATTTCATTACTGCATTGATGATATGGTGGCCGAAGATCTGGGGTTCACCACTTGATGCTGTGGGGAAAGAGATGGAATCCCAGATTACCGGATATCTGATTGAAGAAATAGTGAAGGATATGCATGCAGAGTCATAACGGTGCATAGAAAAGCCTCTTCTTCTGTGTTGTGGCCATTCTGATGGTCAAAGGGACCGTGGTAGAGGGTGCAGAAAGTGCTGAAAATTTCAGCTCGCGATGTGGGATCTCTTTCCTAATAATTCCATATTTTTATCAATATATTGGTATTTTTATTTTTTTTATTGCACAATTGTTTTCACTAGTTCTTGAAATTTGTTTGGAATGATGTCGATTGTTGATTAATAATACACATTTTCAAACAATTAACAAAAAATGGGGTCAAATTTTGTTTGGATCAAACTGAGTTTTTGGTGATCGTCTTGGGAGTTATGTGTAATTAAGTCTTACTTCTTTTTATTTAGAATCCTTTGGTGATTATGCTTAAATATCATGAATTTATATGATTGGGCCATTTTGTATCCAGTGATTCCTCTTGGTGGGTTTCAAGCCTTCTTTGTTTCCCCTCTTCGTCAAATATTGTACAATTTTTATTATTTTAGGTTTTTTTAGCCAGTATGTTTGGTTTTTTTTTGAAGGTAAGGTATAATTTTATTCAAACACAAAACAAGTACAAAGAACAAGGGTCAAAACCCAAAAACTCTAGTAATATTTGAATTTCAATTACTTGACTTTGCATGTGGGTTGGGTTGGGTTGGGTTTGAATTACTAGGGTTGGACTTTTTGGATTGGGTAAATTACACTGAGCAATGCTAAATTACACCAACCCTTTTTAGTAATGCCAATTGATCCAAAATTAATGCAAATAGTGCAAAGAAAGACACAAGGACAATAAGAGTAAATATACATTTCAGTGTAATAGAGATGATAACATTATTTTTTTCATCCATACAACTAACGGGTTATTGATGAAAAATGAGTTTAGTGTTCCTTGAATTAAAATATCAAGGAAATCCAATGTAATTATACCAAAATTTTTGAGTTTGGTGTATTTTCTCCAAATCTCAGGAAGGTCATTGTAATTTAATCTTTTGTATTTTTAATTTGCATCATGTTATTTTCTACATATTCTATTTTTTTTTTTATTTATTATTTGAATGATGATAAGCTAATTGTGTTGTCGATTGTTTATATTAGTTTTCTCATGCCAATTATTTGGATTTTCTTTTTTTGAAAAAACTATATATTTTGGTTATATAATCCTTAGTGGGTATTATTGTTTATCGTATTTTTTTTAAACTCATTTTAGTTGATTTCACCTTGTATTTGTTCTTTAGGCTTTGGTTAGATTGATATTTGTGTATTTATGCTTTGATTGTTACAATTACAAGGGATTAAAAAATTGGAAGGGAGGAAAGCTAGGCATCCTTAGAGAAAGGAAGTTGCCTTTATCTCCTTCTATTTGTTTGATTGATTAGGAAGGAAAGCAAAGGTGATAGAAAGGGTTAATTTTATTTGCACCCGTGCATATCAAAGGAACGATGATGTTTGAATGTCAAAAACATTAAAAAGAAAGAAAGAACCCGTGTATATCAAAGAAGAAGAAGAAGAAGAGGAAGAGAGGGGCTTAACCTTCATCACGGCTGGAGGAAAATTGCTTTTTCCCTTCTTTCCTTTCTACCAAATGAAGAAAATGCTATAGATCCTTCCTCCCGCTTTTCTCCCTTACCATAAGGAAAATGGTGCTCAAACAGAATTTTCATACACAAATCCCATCCAAAATAATGTGGCAGTGGCAGTGGCAGTGGCATTTTTGAAATTATGAAGTGTCTTTTTTCTGGAATGGGAAGACCACGATGAGTCACACATCTTGTATAGAAATTTTGAATAGAAGTTGTGTTTGTTAACATTATTCTTAACATAAAGATCTTAAAGATGGGAGGAAACTCTTAACATGGTGTTTTTTTCTCCTCTTTTTTCATAAAATGACTGATTTTCTTTTGGTAAATATTAAGATTTTTTTTTAAACTTGCTATAAAAATCTTGTTCTTGCTCTCTCAGGAGCCAGGTTGGGAAATCTATATTGTGACCCCTTAATGACATCTGTTGGCCACAAGATTAGTGGCAGACAACGGTGGACTCCAACACCTGTACAACTTCAAATTCTTGAACGTTTATTTGACCAAGGGAATGGGACACCAAGCAAGCAGAAGATCAAAGACATAACCTCTGATTTGTCTCAACACGGCCAAATTTCCAAGTCAAATGTCTATCATTGGTT